TAAAGTGTGATTCATTGAATTTCAGATTCCCCAACATCTTCTTCATTTACCATCCACGTCATCGTATGCTTTTGTCATCGCTGTTCAAGTCAATGGATTGATTAATTTCGAGGATTTTTCGAGGAGAGGAAGGGAACCGGCTCAACAATAGTGAGTTTGACCAAACATGCATTCAGGAACGTAACTCTATTATTTTCAGACCATCTCGGACATCCCAACACGACTGCCTTGTGCATGGCCTGGTCTGTGGGTTTTCGTCTGTATTTTTTTAAAGATATTTTTTACCCTATTTAATCTTTTATTCCCCTATTTAATGTTTTTAATTTTTTAGTTTAGTTAATCTTAAATTTTTTTAATTATTAGCTTAGGCTTTCACCTTACACACACACTGGAGCAAATTTTGTAGGTTTAGTTTAGTAAGTTGAACTTCTGTGTAGGTGTCTCCTCTAGAATTAGATTTATTGTCCTAGCCGTTGGGGTCTATGGTAGTTTTAATTTTTAGTAGTTTATATACCGTGTAGTTGTAGCCTTTTTTGTAACTTTATGTGTGAGTAGCTAAGCCTTAGAATTTTTTGTAAGTTTCTGTGCGGGTAGATATGCCTTGTTAATTAGGTTTTTAAGAACCGTTACACGTGTAATTAAGCTTTAGTAATTTTTTGTTATTAGGGACCGTTATGCTAGTGTTAATTGTCTTTTGTTTCTTTTTTTGATTTTTGTCGAATAAATTTTTATAATTTAAAAACTTGTGTTCTGTTGTTTTTCTATTTGCCCTCTCAAAGAGTTGGGAAAAGGAATAATCCTTGCAATACTTGCTCCTAATGCATTTCCAGGGTTTTTTTAGAATTTTCAGAAGCTGTGACAATGTGCTGACGTACTTGTTGACACTGCATTGTAATCCTGGATCCTGGCGTGTGGTATCCGGATTTATTCTGGATTAAGGGGATGGAAATTGGTTTTTGCTGGGATTCTAATCTCATGGATGCAGCTGGAAGATTTGTGATCCTCTGAGAGGACTTTGATGTCGTTGGAAGTTGGCTCACCGGCGAGGATAAGCTGATGGCTTATCGGATGGATCTGAAGGGGATAAATGGAACTTGAGAAATCTGGATGAATAAGAAATCATTTAAGACAGCTTTTATGGGCAACTAAGAAGGAAATCAGCTCAATGGGAAAGATTGAGCTTAAGGTCAGGCGGGATTTTAGAAATCTACAAGCGGATACAATTGAATAGAAGCTTGACGGAACGAACAAAGAAGGAGCAGATGAGCGCCAACTTACGCTATGGAGCCAGCTTAACGGAACCTGAAAACATTTGAGAGGTTGAAGTGTGGGATCTCAATCAAAGGCAACAAGGGCTGAGGAGTAGAAACATTTGCAGATGCATAAAAATGGATGACGTTTGACCACGGGTTCAGTTCTTGGCGATGTCAGAGAGAATTCATTTGATTCTTAGTAATGCATAGAATTTCCGGAGAAACATGCGAGTGGGCTGGTGTTGCAAACAATAGAGGAAAAACGAAGTTTTTAGTAAAATTGCATGGGAATGGGATATCGGTGTAAATGAAAAGTTGACGAGAAAAGATCTGGGAGTGTTGTGGTGATCCTTGGGGCTAATCAAGATTTGTGTAGTTTGCATTCATGTTGGATGAAGAAGATGGGTTTTCAGTAAAGATTCCAGCGATAAAACAATGAATATGGTTTGGAAGAGTTGGACTCATCAATCTTGTGACAGAGCTGAGATGATGTTTGGAGGTTGTCATCTGAAATGAAATTGGAAAAAAATGTATAATTAGCAGAATGCTGTTCAGATCTTTGAAACTTTGTAAAAGAGGGGAAACATACTCAATTAATCCGGTACAGAGCTTGCTACGATTTCTGGGGATGTAGAGAAATTTTTGGAGCACATTTCCGGAACACGACACGTTTCCGGAGCAAGGAACTTTCAAATCGGCAAAATTGGCAGTTTCTAGAATAGATGTTTATACAAGCCTGGAAGCGTCAGATTTTTGATGGCTCAGTCTCACGGAATCCGAACAAGGGGGCTCTCACATTATGTTGAAGTGGGATTAAAAGCGTGACGAATATTGTCATGGCGGAGCTTTGCTAGATTCAGAAAAGTAGAATTTTGGGGATCTTCAATTTTGAGTTTGAAAAAAAAATAGAGAGGATTTTAAGGAAAACCGTAAACACTCTGATAGCATGCCATCCAAATCGTCAAATTTGAGCCTATGTACCTCATTTTCTGTGAGAGATATCAAAAAGTAGTCAACTAATCAAATGTTGCTGATATCATGATAAACATTTGATGAGTTGAAACTTTTTGATTTCATTCACAAGAAGTGAGATATATAGGCTCGAAGTAAACGGTCCGGGTGGCGTTTTATTAGAGTGTTTACGATGTGTACAGGCATAAGTTTAAATGACGTGACGTAACCCAAATGGTTCAAGAGATGTCAACTGAACAAACAAAAAAGCAGAAAGTCCAACAACATACAATTTCATCTAACTCATAGTAAAATTTGATATCACGTTCCAATACCAGGACTAGAGAAATGTTTGAAAAATGCTGACATACAAAGTGACCAAAGCCAGAGTCACACCAAGATGATTATCATTGAAGGCATACAGTACTGGTCATAACGATATTTTTTAAAAAGTATTTTTTTAGTTAATATTCGGCCATTTTCACAGTTTTTAGGAGTTAGAAGTTTGACTGTTCAGTTTCCGACCCCCTTGAAAATTTTGGAAGGTGTAAAACTGACCTAGATTTAAAACTTTGCTTTCTCGGAATACTTGAAAATTCCTAGGTTTTCAGCCATTTGCCGATTTTTAGAAGACACCTATTTTTTGCCTGTTTTTTTACTAATATAACGAAAAAATTTTGTCTTCCAGAAATCGAGGAATAGATGAAAAACAAAAAGTTTTCAAAATATTCGGGGAAACTAAATTTTTAATGCTAGCTCTGTTTCAAACCCTCCAAAATTTTCAAAGTGATCGAAAACTTGACAGTCGACTTTGAAAATGGTAAAAATCAACTGAAAATACGATTTTGTATATCATATTGGCCGGTACTGTATTTGACCACCATACGGTAGCTGACATCACTGAATCTTCACAAATGACCAACACCTATGAGCGCCGAACAGCTGTTTTTATAAAAATCCGCTTTCTGTCCTGAGAATCGCCTAATTTCATGAAGGATTTTTCACCATCGGACCCTCGTATCCTATTGTACCCTGTCCATCAAAACGAAAACTCGCTCAAAAAACTTCCATGTGATCACTTCAAAAGCCCCAACTATACGATTTTGTTTTTCAGACGACTTCTTTTCGGCAGAAATTTTTCCTGATTAAGTCCCAAGAGTCTGCAATTAGTTAACCTATAGTGCCAACAACGAGCTCGTCGCTTAGCAACGAGAGAGAGAGAAGAGAGACGCAGAGAAACAAAAGTGTGAAATTAGAATGAGTATAAAAGCTCCGATAAACACTAATTTTATCATTTTCACTTTTTTCTTTCTCTGGTGAAGGCTTTCGGAAGCTCTTAGAGGCCTGTTGAAAATCGGATCCTGGACGTATAAGCCCCCGACGTTGCAGAACTCAACATTTCAAAACTCGATGATTCAGAACCCGACGTTTCAGAACTTTTCTGCATTGTTACATAGCGGTTTTACACACCGAACGCTCATTGTTCATTCCAATTCGTTGTTTTTTGTTTAAAAAAAATTTATTTTCTTCTCTACCGTACTACAAATATTGCTAAGCTCACAGTCGGAAACTTAAAAAAAAACGAAAATTTTGCTCATAATTTCGAAAACGATGTCATTACTAAAAGTACGCCTAAATAAACTTATATGCGTTGGCAAAATTTTTTTGCGCACTTTTAGACATCGTTTTTATTGAAATTTTCAATTGTTTTCTATTTTTTGAGAATTTTGGAGTGTGAACCTACCACTATCGAGAAAAAGGACAATGTAGAGATGCTATTTTTTTTATCGGATCCTGCTTTGAGGTTATGAAGACATGATGAATCGTTCCATCATAGAAATGTTCCCTATCTATCCAAACAGAATGCTCCTTCTAGCAATTCTAGTGATCATTTGAAAAACAAGAGCCAACTATACGAATTTAACTTTTCAAGAGACTTCTATCAGCAGAAAATTTTTCCTGATTTAGCCCCAGGAGTCCGCAATTAGTAAACCTATAGTGCCAACCACGAGCTGGTCGCTTAGTAACGAGATAGAGAAGAAAGACGCAGAGAAACAAAAGTGTGAAATTTGAATGAGTATAAAAGCTCACATAATCACTAATTTTATCATTTCCTTTTCTTTTTTTTTCTTTTTTTTGTTGAGAGCTCTCGGAAGCTCCGAAAAGCCTAAATCGAATCTTGGACGTTTCAGCACCCGACGTTTCAGAACCCCGACGTTTCAGAACTAGACAATTCAGAACCTGACGTTTCAGAACTTTTCTGCATTGTTGCATAGCGGTTTTGCACACCTAATAGGAATTCGTCATTTCAATTCGTTGTTTTTTGCTCTTTTATTTGTTCGTATCTACCGTACTCCATATTTCATAGGTCCACAGTCGGAAACTTAAACAAAAACGAAAATTTTGCTCATAATTTCAAAAACGATGTCATTACTAGAAGTACGCTTAAACGAACTTATATTCGTTGGCAAAATTTTTTGCGCACTTTGAGAAACTTGTTTTCTAATTTTCAATTCTTTTTCCATTTTTTGAGAATTTTGTAGTGTGCACCTATCAATATTTGGAGTACCGTAGAAGAGAGCAAATTAAAAAAACAGAAAGAACAACAAATTGAAATGGACAATACCTATTTGGCGTAAAAATCCGCTATGCAAAAATGAAGAACAGTTTTGAAACGTCGGGTTCTGAACCGTGGGGTTCTGAAATGTCTAGTTCTGAAACGTCGGGAACTGTTGGATTATGAAACGTCTAGGAGCTTAAAAATCCCGAAACTATTTTTTCCAGGTAATGTACAAAATGTTTGGGTGCACATATTACAACGCATTAGATTTCTATGAAGAGGTTCAAAGATCAGTGGACCTGCTCTTTATTGTGGCCCATATTATCTACGTGACATTTGCTGACAATTTCATCAACAGTGCTCTTGCATCACTTGCAATCTACATCCCAGCTATTGTTCTCACAGCGATCACCATATATCTCCTGCCGAAAATTTTCCGAAGAGTCAAATCAAAAAAACTTCGAATCGCATTTGCTTTTGTTGTCCACATCTTTTTGATCCTGCTCCCAGTGGTTCCAAGAGTCTTGGTGTTTTCTGTGGGATGGAATTTCCAGGTTAGCTACTGAGTCATCATAACGTTGTCACTATATGAAGTACCGACCTGATCTGCAAATTAACTTTTGATCTACCATGAAGAAATTTGATGTGAAGCAGAATTTTAGGTCTAAAACATTTTTTAGCATTTTTTATCGGATTTTGTGGTGATTCAAGATGATTCAAACAATTTTAAAAAATTAATTAGCGGTTATAGAATCCGGTGTAATGTTTTTCCGGGTGAAAACTTTTCAAAATTTTCAATTTTCAAGGTTTTAGACAGAAAAAATATAACTTTCAATGTTTAACATTCCTAGGAGTTCTATAGCTCAAAAGAACCGCAATCAGTTATTTTCATTCTGTTTGGTTGAATTTTTGATTCGTATTATAATCAAATGAATCATCTAGAATCTTCACAAAAACGGATGAAAATTGCTGAAAATATGCGTTAGACCTGAAATTTTATTTCACAACTAATTTTTTTATTGTAGATCAGAAGTTAATTTTCTGTTCGAAAATCTTTCATGGGAGGCTGTGCACCGGCCAATAAAATATACAAAAACTTGGTTTTCAGTTGATTTTGAAAATTTTCAAAAGTCTAGAGCAGACAAGTTTTCGATCACTTTGAAACTTTTGGAGGTTGTCAAGCAGACCTAGATTAAAAATTCTGCATTTTCAGAATGCTTTTAAATTTCCTAGCTTTCCAGTTATTAGCCGATTTTTGAAGAAAACCCCTATTTTTCCTGTTTTTGTACTGAAAACGGGAGAAAAACAGGCGTCCATCAGCAATCAGCAAATAACTGAAAAACTAGGAATTTTCGAAAAGTTCTGTGAATTTAAAGTTTTCAATCTAGGTCTGATTTACAACCGTTTGTATATCTTATTAACCGGTACTGTACGTGCTTTTTGAGCTCAGTTATCTCAGTTCCTTCAAAAAATATCAAAAAATGTTCTACTGATGAATTACTTATTATAACATCACCTGGTATTCATCCGTTGGTCAATTTTTGATATCTCTCACAGAAACCTAGATAATTAAGCTCAAAGTGCATCAGCAAAAACGGCAAGCTCAGAATTTTAGATGTTGATCCTCCTCGTGATTGCTCCACTCATCATCATACACTTGGTTCTTTACTTGAACCGCTATCAATTCCCAACTGAAATTTTCTACAATGAAGACGTAGTTTCTTTTGTATTTGTTGGAAACGCTGTGATCTTGGTTGCTTCAATTCGGATCGCATATGAAATAACTGCTGGATGGGATTTTGCTGCTATCATCATGGTTCAAGGAATCTTCTCTCCAATCACCTTCATTGCAAGCCTCGACTTTCTTCATATTCTGGCGGAACAACGCACATTTTTCCCGGGAAGTAATTTGGTTTCAATTCAACCGGTCGATAAAGAACCCGGCGCTCAAGATAAACAACACTCGTACGTTTTTTTTTCCAGCAATTGTTTAGAGACATATGATTCCATAAACACCTTATCGTTTTTTTTCAGGTCAGAATGTCATATCTGCAGTTTTGAATACTCCGAGAAACTCCTCCCAAAAATATTGATTGAATGCGGTCACACTCTATGCGCCGATTGTGCTCACAACCTCTCGCTTCAGAACGGCAAACAATTCGTTTACTGCCCATATTGCCGCCAAATCACCCTCACTCATGGTTTAATTAATTACTGCTTAATTTGAGTTAATTAATTAAAAATTTCAGGAAACGCATCCAATCTGAAAACTAATCTTGAAGTTTTGGACCTTGTGAACATCATCAAGGAGTTAAAAAAGAAAATAGTGCAAAACGATGTGGCTAACATACTGGCATAATAACTGTAATCACTTTAACATAATGCTTCTCCCCCTCTCCAAATCGTCAACGTTGAGCCTATATGTCTCGTTTTCTGTAAAAGGCATCAAAAAGTTGTCATCAGACGAAATGTTTTTTATTATCTGGCGAAAATTTTGCCAATTGACCAATTTTCGATATCTTTTACATAAACCGGGATAAATTGGCTCATAGTTGAATGTTACACCATTCTGCCATTAATATCCTCCAATATTTTTTTGGTCATCTTTGCTTTATCCCCTCATCAAAAAATTTTCGAAACTTGAAACATGTGGAAAACTTCCGGTTACGTCAATCATGGTCACACCGGTTACGATCATCATATAATTTGTCTCCATATCCCATGTTGCTTTGCATCTTACTCCATGTATTCTTTTCCACCCAATAAATTAAAAATTATCTCTACTCAATAAACAATATATTTTCGAACTATAGTATATAACAGATAATTGTTCAGAAAAACAAAAAGTCTACTTCCTTGTAGTATCCAGCTGATTTCATAGTAAGAATGCACTTTTACTTTTTGATGTATGGATTTCGAAATATGTTCTTTTGATGCTAAAATATTTTGAAAGTACATATTTAATGATCAAGGAGTAAAGGTTTTCAGTTTGGAATATTTAATGAACGTTAACAGTGACATGAAACATTGATAGGCTTTTCAAGCTTTTCAAAATGGTTGAAATCGAAAAAGGTGGAATTGCGACATCTATCGTTATCCCCATCGACTCTGCGTCTAGTTAAAGCACCTCGATTCAACATATCTGAACGAATTTGAATAACTTTGAATTTTGAAAATATCAAAAAGAATAGAAATTACGAGAATTCAAAAACTTGAATACAAAATAGAGTCAAAATGCCGGAAATAGCAAACAATTAGACATTTATTTTGGCAATTATTCTTCTTTTCCATTCTTCGTCTGAATCATTGGCTAAATTATTTTCCCTGCCATCTTCTTCCGTTTTGTGTGCGCGCACAAACGACACTCCAAAATAACGGGGTGCGCCTGGTTTAGCCGCGTGAAATTTCGGCACAACAACTCATTTTCAGCAGTGTTTCCGACGTTATCTTTGTTCCTTTCTGGATGTTTACACTATTAAAACTTTTCAGAACAAATTTCGGACCTCCACAGAAGTTTACACTGTGGTCTTGCTGCCTGAAACAGTTTTATGAAAATTCTCTATTCACCTATTGTAGAAACGATTGAAACTTTCCGAGAAGTTTGTCAAAGGCATGAGCAACTAATTCACAGCAAAATTAAGTGACATAAATGAAGATTCGCATGAGAAACGTTGGATTTAACAAAAGGCGTTAGAAAAATGCAGTCCCAGGCAATCGCTGTCTCTGGAGAAGTTTCATTGACCGCTCACAACTCTCGAAACAGTTTTTTCGTGTCGATGCATCCAAGAAATGCAGTTCTCTCTATCTCAAAAAAGCGCACGAAAAGTGACGTCGTTTCTTGTTAGAAAAGGGGACCGTCCTGCACACCTATTGGCCGAATATCGATTTTTACGTCATCATTTTGAAGAGTCATGCATACACTCAGGATAAAGGTAAGTACTACAACATTTCATTCGAAAGAAAAAACTTTTTTCAGATTCACGATATCACAGTGATTCTTCTATGGAAAACCAACCTTGAAGACAACCTCGATTGTTCAACAACCTGAATCCAACAACACTCAGATGAACAGTGGCATATGACAGAAAATGATTCGAGACATCTTCAAACCGTCGTTGGCGTGTGAATCAAGCTTATCAAAGATTGTGCTGCTGTCGCTTTTTCTATTGCTTCATTTTTGCCTATTCAATGGATTGCCAGGAAAAGGAACAATTCGACTCGTTGAGCTAATTGGATCTACAGCGACGCGCATTCGATTTTTCAAGATTGACTAGAAGATCGTGCTCAAGCTTATCGTTGATGGTATCAAAATGGACAGTGGCACCTTAACGAGGATAGAAAATATTTCGACGCAACTCCGAGCCGTCCTGGACCACTGCTCGTGCATCCGTCGATTTTGCTCTTGATAACGACAAGGAAAAAGATGTGATTCGACTCATCTTGGAGAGTTTCGCGAGTTGGCTTCTGCTCTTCTAAAGTGCTTGAACAACCATGCGAATCAAGTTCTCTGGCCTCAATGTAAATTGTTTTTTCCAGCGCAGTTTTCGTCACGAAAATGTATTTCAGTTTGTAAACCGGTGACTCGTCGAAAGAATTCATTTGGTCCTCGAGAAGTGAGTTCCAGGAGCTCTTCCGCCAATTCTCGATATTCTTCTCTTCGCTATGACAAAGGTGGATGATGAAATTCTCAACGTGCGGCTCAATAAGATAAATGAAGACTATAAAAAGTAGGTCATTCGAAACCCTGCTTTTAATTTAATATTAGCTTTCAGCGCTCCAATTATCGCCGAGTCTGCTATCGACCGAGTCGCTTGCTGCATCAATGGAATAGGCTTGCTTGCCACAAGTCCAGAAGCTTCCGTTCGACGGTGACTGGAAAATGAAGCCCGCAGTTTTTCGCACTTTCGCCGCTGTCGGAGAAGGATGCCAACGTTCCATGGAGCTACATACAGAACAAATCGTGGTTTGCACTTTAACATTGCACAGTAAGTTTTATAATTGAATCCCCAATAACCCCTCAATTTCCCAGACGAAAATATTCATGAAACCGAGGAGAGGCGTTGAGTATCTTGGGCTTTGGACTACATGATGATTTGAACCGATTCTACAGAGACTATGTCATTCCTTCTGGCCTGTATTGAGAAGCAAGGCATAGAAGATAAGCTTTTCCGTTTGTGGTGCAAGTTCTTGAAGGCGTTGACCACCGCTACGAATGAGTAAGACGATGGTTTCGTTCATGAGCGACATCGGAACTTGCATTGAGTTTTTTAAGACTGATGGGAATGCTCCAGATTAGGTTAAACTACCCTTCTCAGTTCTTCTCGAGCAACTCAAAAACTACGGAAAGAAAACGAGCGATAGTCGATAGTGGAAGATGAGAGTGAAGATAATTCTAACGCCAAGGAGGAAGGCCTCGTGCATTGAATCAATCTTCGACTTGATTCGCTTGCTCATGAACGAGCTTCAAAGTCTAGAGAAATGGTTGTCAATATTTTGAATTGTGATGTCTCGATTTTGAGGTGTGGAATAGAAGTTGAGCAGAGTAAGTTTTCGAGAATTCTGAGAGTAAACATCAGTAATTTCTAGGCGTTTGACTGAAATTTGGATGAAAGATGGTCTTCACAATCAAAAGCTCGCAATTTTTATGAATTCCTGACGATGGCCAAACGTTTGCCGACAAAAATCCGTCTGAAATATTTGCTGTGTTCCAATGAAAGTAGAAGAAATCGACTTTGTGTTCGCTTTCTTCTCACATCGGTGTTCACTGTTTTGAAGGAATGAAATTCACATTTTGTCCGAATAAACGTGATGAATACTAGATTTAATCCTTGATTATTAATTTCAAGATTTTAAATTTTTGTTTAATATGGCCCTTGCCTCAAGTTTCTCTTTGAATTTCAGATTTTACAGCTATTGATAATGCCATAAATGTTGGACGATCAAAAACTAATTTTTCGGATTTTTAGCATATGAATTACTGACAAAGCCAGATCAAACAGATCTTAAAACAACATTATAATTGTGATTTGTTTGATCTGGCTTTTTCGAAAATTCGTATGCTAAAAATTCGAAAAATTATTTTTTGATCATCCAAAACGCTATTTTCACTTCCAATATTTTTCTGAATTAACGAATTCACGCAAATATTTCTGTAAAACGTTTAACGCAGTCATAATGTTGTTTAAAGATCTGTTTGATCTGGCTTTTTCGAAAATTCATATGCAAAAAATTCGAAAAATTAGTTTTTGATCGTCCAAATCGCTATTTTCGCTTCCAATATTTTTCTGAATTAACGAATTCACGCAAATATTTCTGTAAAACGTTTAACGCAGTCATAATGTTGTTTAAAGATCTGTTTGATCTGGCTTTTTCGAAAATTCATATGCAAAAAATTCGAAAAATTAGTTTTTGATCGTCCAAATCGCTATTTTCACTTCCAATATTTTTCTGAATTAACGAATTCACGCAAATATTTCTGTAAAACGTTTAACGCAGTCATAATGTTGTTTAAAGATCTGTTTGATCTGGCTTTTTCGAAAATTCATATGCAAAAAATTCGAAAAATTAGTTTTTGATCGTCCAAATCGCTATTTTCGCTTCCAATATTTTTCTGAATTAACGAATTCACGCAAATATTTCTGTAAAACGTTTAACGCAGTCATAATGTTGTTTAAAGATCTGTTTGATCTGGCTTTTTCGAAAATTCATATGCTAAATATTCGAAAAATTAGTTTTTGATCGTCCAAATCGCTATTTTCGCTTCCAATATTTTTCTGAATTAACGAATTCACGCAAATATTTCTGTAAAACGTTTAACGCAGTCATAATGTTGTTTAAAGATCTGTTTGATCTGGCTTTTTCGAAAATTCATATGCTAAATATTCGAAAAATTAGTTTTTGATCGTCCAAATCGCTATTTTCGCTTCCAATATTTTTCTGAATTAACGAATTCACGCAAATATTTCTGTAAAACGTTTAACGCAGTCATAATGTTGTTTAAAGATCTGTTTGATCTGGCTTTTTCGAAAATTCATATGCAAAAAATTCGAAAAATTAGTTTTTGATCGTCCAAATCGCTATTTTCGCTTCCAATATTTTTCTGAATTAACGAATTCACGCAAATATTTCTGTAAAACGTTTAACGCAGTCATAATGTTGTTAAAAGATCTGTTTGATCTGGCTTTTTCGAAAATTCATATGCAAAAAATTCGAAAAATTAGTTTTTGATCGTCCAAATCGCTATTTTCGCTTCCAATATTTTTCTGAATTAACGAATTCACGCAAATATTTCTGTAAAACGTTTAACGCAGTCATAATGTTGTTTAAAGATCTGTTTGATCTGGCTTTTTCGAAAATTCATATGCAAAAAATTCGAAAAATTAGTTTTTGATCGTCCAAATCGCTATTTTCGCTTCCAATATTTTTCTGAATTAACGAATTCACGCAAATATTTCTGTAAAACGTTTAACGCAGTCATAATGTTGTTTAAAGATCTGTTTGATCTGGCTTTTTCGAAAATTCATATGCAAAAAATTCGAAAAATTAGTTTTTGATCGTCCAAATCGCTATTTTCGCTTCCAATATTTTTCTGAATTAACGAATTCACGCAAATATTTCTGTAAAACGTTTAACGCAGTCATAATGTTGTTTAAAGATCTGTTTGATCTGGCTTTTTCGAAAATTCATATGCAAAAAATTCGAAAAATTAGTTTTTGATCGTCCAAATCGCTATTTTCGCTTCCAATATTTTTCTGAATTAACGAATTCACGCAAATATTTCTGTAAAACGTTTAACGCAGTCATAATGTTGTTTAAAGATTTGTTTGATCTGGCTTTTTCGAAAATTCATATGCTAAATATTCGAAAAATTAGTTTTTGATCGTCCAAATCGCTATTTTCGCTTCCAATATTTTTCTGAATTAACGAATTCACGCAAATATTTCTGTAAAACGTTTAACGCAGTCATAATGTTGTTTAAAGATCTGTTTGATCTGGCTTTTTCGAAAATTCATATGCAAAAAATTCGAAAAATTAGTTTTTGATCGTCCAAATCGCTATTTTCGCTTCCAATATTTTTCTGAATTAACGAATTCACGCAAATATTTCTGTAAAACGTTTAACGCAGTCATAATGTTGTTTAAAGATCTGTTTGATCTGGCTTTTTCGAAAATTCATATGCTAAATATTCGAAAAATTAGTTTTTGATCGTCCAAATCGCTATTTTCGCTTCCAATATTTTTCTGAATTAACGAATTCACGCAAATATTTCTGTAAAACGTTTAACGCAGTCA